TAAATCCTTCTAAATTTACATCAAGTGACACCTTTTGATAAACCAAAATGTGGGGCTACCCAATCTTATCCAAAGAAAAGCTATAGCTGTATGCTGTCTCCAAGCTCTGCACTTTCATTCCAATGAGGCAAAATTTGTAAAATAAATGCAATCTGCCACTTAACCAACCCCAATGCTTCAAGCTTTCCTGCAAGAATTTATTTACCACAGCTTAATCTTTACTCCCTCCTCTCAAGAAATGAGTTGAAAAATCAAAAGCTGCAGAGCAGGAAAAGCCTACTTGGAACATGATTCCTAACCTGGTGTGGAAACACGTTCAGAATCCTATTATACCTCAATCCTGGGACAGCGCAGACCTGATTTAATAAGCAGTCACTTGTGAGAGTGAGGGTTCCCACCACCACCCACCAGAGATGAGGAGGTATGTGGGGCACAAATGATCCAGACAGGGAACTGGTGGGCCTAACTTTGTGGTATTATCTGATTGCAAATGGACGGAGGGAGTTAGCTGCACCCTGAAAACAACAACTGCACATTACCCCACGCAGCCAGCACAAGCACATATGTCCCAGAAGGAACTGCTGCTCAAAAGTGGATTGAGTGCCAGGACACCCCTGGGGAAGTACAGCTCTGAATCAGTGCCGAGGTGAACACAGACAATCTGCCCCTTCCAAAGAAGTCTGCTTTGAATCACCAACTCAGTGTGGTCACCCTTGGTCCTGATGGTTGCAGAAAAAAATTCCTGCCCTCATACATAACCCAGGCTGACCCTTGTTTGCTTGCAGAAAAATTTTGTAGCTGGATATGGCTGCAGAGATTTTTTTATATAACCTAGCTAGACTGATCTGATAATTTCAGTTCTCTTGCAGCCAAGTTCTGTCACTTTATTCACATAACTGTAGTCTGTGCGCAGTTCAGAGTAGGTTACTACTGGGCACATAATGGAGTCAGGCCTTGTACATATACCACAGAGATTCGAACCTGTAGTATACATTGTGTGACAATATTCACAGGTCAGGAAGGGATTTAGCAGAGTGCAGTCAGGTAAGGTAAGAGGAACTGAATTATTTCTTACCTTCATTTCTCTTACAAACCCAGGAAGCTGAGGATGAGCAGTTAATTTGGTTCAAGCTCCCATTCGCAGTTAGCTGATCACAAGCGGTCAAAGTGGTATTTTTGGTGTGGCTTACCCTGAGCAATCAAAACACACCACACTGGAGGTTAATCACACCCAATGGCATGGAAGCTAAGCCTCTGGTGCAGGAAAATATATTACTTCAGAAACAAAATGGTCAGGCTAACCCTCTCCCCCCTGTCCCTGCTCCCCAAAGAAAGACTAAAAACTGATCATAGAATCATAGAAATTAAGGGCTGGAAGGGACCTCAAAAGATCATTGAGTCCAACCCCCCTGCTCTGGGCAGGAATCAAATGAGCAAATCAATTGCTCAAGGGAGCAATCCCGAATGCACAAGCAAAGTCCATCCCATCTCGGAGGAAAGGCAGCAAAAGGGCACAGCAGCCCCCTTGGCTCTCCAGGGAACTGGCGGACCTCCTGCGTCTTAAAAGAAAGACCTACAAAGGATGGAGGATTGGAACCACCACCAAGGACGAATATTCTGCTCTGGTCCGGACCTGTAGAGAGCAAACCAGGAAAGCCAAGGCTGCGATGGAACTCCAGCTAGCTACAAATATCAAAGACAATAAAAAGTCCTTTTTTACATATGTGGGGAGCCGGAGGAGAAGCAAGGGCAACATTGGACCCCTGCTAAACCAGATGAGGCAACTCACAACCGATGCACAGGAAAACGCGAACTTACTAAATGGGTAGTTTGCATCAGTTTTTCACCAGTCCCATGGGACATCCCTGCCCACTATGGGTCAGGGAGGCCCAGGTGAGGGAGAATCCTTGCCCTCCATCGAAGCTGACCTCGTGAAGGAACACCTTGACAGGCTGGATACCTTCAAGTCAGCCGGCACTGACGGGTTACACCCAAGGGTACTCAGGGAGCTGGCAAGCATCATAGCTCAGCCCCTGGCATGGATCTTAGAGAGCTCTTGGCGCTCTGGTGAAGTGCCCGAAGATTGGAAGAAGGCCAATGTGGTGCCTATCTTCAAGAAAGGAAGGAAAGTAGATCCGGCAAACTACAGGCCCGTCAGCCTGACCTCTATCCTGGGGAAGGTCTTGGAAAAGATTATTAAAGAGGCCATCCTTAACAGACTAGCTGAAGGCAATATCCTAAGGGATACCCTGCATGGGTTTGTTGTGGGTAGGTCTTGTTTAACCAATTTCATTTCCTTTTATGACCAGGTGCCTTATCACCTGGACAAGGGGGAAGAGATTGACGTTGTATATCTTGACTTTAAAAAAGCCTTCGATCTGGTACCCCACGATCACCTCTTGGCTAAACTGGCTAACTGCAGCCTCGATCTCACCACAATCCGCTGTCTGGGGAATTGGCTCTGCGGTAGGACCCAGAGGGTGGTGGTCGACGGAAGCCAGTCGTCTTGGTGCGCGGTCACCAGGGGGGG